GCGATGGGGGTCTCCGAGCCCCTGAGCCCGACGGCGATGGGGGTCTCTTTGCTAAAATCGGTGAGGGGGAGCGTTTACGGTTTGACGAAGCAGGAGATGAAGGACGTTTTTCCTTGACTGGTTTCTGTTTATACAAATCAAATAAGCCCATCAGCACTACATTAAATGGCTTATCAGTGCCCTTCCCTACAACCCCAGAAGTTCATATCAGTGAAACAACATTTCATGACTACAATATCAAATTTACCATTCAATTATACATTCCATCCATTTGGTGCTTAACCATCTACCATGCACTCTTCATTATATATTGCTGCAGTCAGGATTATATGGGCATTTACATTAGTAGATGCTATTCCATTTCACATCATATTATTTCCCATCAGTACAGCTGTGATTGGATATTACTTGTACAGTTCAGGTGCAGTTTGGGCTTTCTGCCTTAGATAATATGCTTTGCCTCGAGTATGATTTCCATCACTGGCCATCTCAATGTTTCTGGACAGAATGGTCGGAATTAGAAGCTCTTAGCCACTAAATTGGAGAATGCTTACTCAACCTCAGTCCAGTCTCTGACTGTAGGTGAAGAGAAGGTAAAACTGCTCGCATAATAGACATATAATTGCAAGCAGACCCCCGGCTGGATGTGCACCCATCTGCACAACCGCACAGGTTTACGTGGGATTTACATTAGTTACTCCCTTGTGAGTTTCCTGCAACCAATGACGTGCACACTCTACTAACCATCATTAACACAGGCTTAATAATGAGACTGCCTGTCTGCCATGACTCCATGTTTCTTTGCTGTACCCAAAGAATACATCACCTCTGTTACATCATACTTTGACTAACACTACCTACCGCAGGAAATCAGCCACCTTAGCATTTCAGTATGATGTGGTCCTGGGATTTGAAAAGGGAATGTAAAATTTGAATTGGAAATTTTGTTTTTATTCATGGACACAAGTGACAGTAGCAAGGCCAGCACTGACTGCCCATTCCCAACTTCCTTGAGTAGGTGATGTTGACCTGCCTTCTTGAACTGATGCAAGCTTGGGCATACAAAACTGCTAAGTGGCTTGCTAGACCATTCCAGTTAATAGTGGACTACATTGATGGAGGAAAAGGACAGGTTTCCTTCTCTAAAACATATTAGTGAATCTGGTGGGTTTGCCAACGAACAAAACCTGGCCATTTGGCCCTACCAACTTATTCTGTCAATTAAAAAGATTTGGCTGATCTGTGACCAAACTCCTCATTTGCCCCATATCCCAAATTTTTTGGATAACAGAAATCTACAATGTCAGACCCCACTCATTCATTCAAGCAATGCTTCTTTGTAGCTTATGCTTCCACTGAGACTGCTTACAATACTGTTTTTATCTGTGTATCGTTGATACATTCAGATATTGAGTTTTTGTTCCATCTGAGTCATTAGCAAATATGGTCAAATGCTGAGGTCCAGTTTGATAATTCAAGTGTCTCTTCACTCGCCTTTCTCTGTTTTCTGTCACTCAGCCAATTTTGTCACTAAGTCAGCAATTTATCTTCATTTCCAAGGCTTGAACTTTAGTCATCAGTGTCTCATGAAGGACTTTATTAAATGCCTTCTGGAAGTCTATCTAATTAACATTCCTCTGATCACTACTTTAATCACCACTTTTACAAACCAATCATTTCATACTTGACAGTATTGATTGTGAGATTCTAAACTTTTAAATTCCAGTCTAAAGTAGTTAATTAAATTAAACTCTGCAACTTCCACTAAGATTTTAACTTGAATCTTGGGATCATTCATCAAGGTCCCTGGATTGCTAGTTCAATCACAAGTTCATTACGTTACTGCACTCAATGACACAATTTTCTAGATAGAAAGGTATTTAGTGGGTCAACATCCTCCCTACCAGCATAATGGGTATCATTACAGCACATGGACTGCAGCAGATCAAGAAGGTAGTTCACCACCACCTTCTCAAGGGCAACTAGGGATGAGTAATAAATGCTGGCCCAGCCAGTGACGTCAACATCTTGTGACTGAATTTATAAAAAACACAGCATGTATTAGATGTCAGTTGTGGCTCAATAGCAGCAATTTCTGCTCCGATTCAGAAGGTGATAGGTTCAAATTTTACTCTCTATTCCAGGCTGATACTTCAGAACAGAACACGAGGGAGTGCTGTATTATTGGAAAAGTCATCATTGAAAGATTAAACCAGGCCCCATCTACCATCCTAATTGGGGTTTAAAAAACCCTTGGCCAAGGTAGCCAATGGATTAATGAACAATAACAGCACACTAGAGATTCAATGTAAACATGGGTACAACAGACAGATAGTCAAGTAAAGGATTTCCAAACAAATGCAACAGAAGTCCCCTCCTTCCACTAACCTGAGAGGCTTCGACTGACGTAGTGTCTTTGGCAGAGGCTTCAGGCACTGGGTTCTGTCGGTCAGTGCTGCGGCTACGCAGAGGCTTGTTTGGGGGGTTGACGGGGGAGTTGATGGGTCTAGCTGAAGCTGAACGAGGACAGAGATGAGACTCTACAAGGTTAGAATTTGAAATAGGAAAGCAAGAAAAGTGCAAAGCAAGAAAATAAAGAGAGAAAAAGAGAAATGGTGCATGTTAGGGCCACGAATGAATAGCAGAGTGCAGACCGCCACACTTGATTAATGGATACCATCACCATGCTATGGTTAGTAATTAAGGTGAAGAAACAAAGTAAAAATGGAATTAATAGAATTGACTTTCAACTGCCAAAAAGATTTGTGCCATCTGTATACAGTAAGTTAAATAAGCACTAAACCACAGGACAATACTATAATTGAGCGAGAAACATGAACATAGCAGTGATTTTATGACAAGTGGACAGTTATTGAAGCTACTAGCCGAGCTCATGCACCCTGTGTGCCGCTCCTATTTGTTTCCCTTTAAATGCAATCCTCCGTACAGTGACACATGGTCCTGTGAGGATATCTGTACTCCAAACATCATTCCCCAGCCCAAAAATGGAACACATTTTGTAAGAAGTTAAATGATTAAAAATACAAAGAGCAATGGGAAAAGCACTGGGTTCCATGCAGCAGACATGGTGATGCTCCAGTCAGGCTGAGCATTCAGCTGCCAGGTGCAATGATTATATAAAACTCCATAGCAAAACAGAGGACTTACAAAATATGCTGTAGACGGTAAAAAGCAGCAAAATGGAGAGATTTCAGATCAATGAAAACTAAATAAGGAGCTGAACATCAAATGAAAATTTGCAACAACTTGTCAGAACATTAAAATAAACTGTTATTTGAAAGGACTCCAATTTTCAACAAAAATGCATCTCTTTTTCAGATTTTCACCAATTCCCCAACAGTTAAACACCTCTTCCTATCTACCTAGATCAGAGCTTGGGACAGTCTAGGCAAAATAAAGCAATTTTTCCAAATGTTTAGTTATACTGAACAGTTCAAAAGTAATGAATGACTTAACACAGATACAAAAGCTGGAAATGTGAACTGAAAACAGAAAATCCAGGTACTCAGTAGGTCAGGGAGCATACATAGTGGGAGAAACAAAGTTAATGCGTCAGGTCGATAAGCTTGTGCCAGACTTTCATTCTGATGAAAATGTTATAGACCTGAGACATTAACTCAACTTCTCTCAAAGTTACTGCCTGACTTGCTGAGTATTCTTGCATTATCAGTTGTTAATTTTCATACTGATATCTACATTCACTGTACCAAGTGATTAATAGCAACCAAAACACTCAAACCTACACATGAATTTGAGTAAAACCTGTATATTTGAAAGAAGCAATTCACAATATTCTCATCTTAGTTCCTGTTACTCTATTGCAGATAAACGTGGGGAAAGAGGTGGAGAGATATAATGATGGGGAACCAGGAGAGTGTGAGAAAATTACACAGCAGCCTGAGGTTTGTGTTTCTGATTGACCTGTACAACAAAAACATCAATTATCACATCAAATGTCAGGCTCTTGAATAAAGAAAGCCTGGGGTTCTGGTGGCTGCTCCTTCCTTTTCAATGGCCAGGATTTATAAAGAAATCATTTTAACATAATATTGAAGTTAAAATTTAGAAAATGCATAAAAAGGTTAGAACAATTTCATTAGATTAACCAGAACTCTTTCTGATCTGAAAACAAGAAAGGCTAGAGAGAAAAAAGGGAAACGAGGGCAGTAAAAGTGATCAGATTAGAGATGCAGCAAAACGGTGTTTGAAAATTGGAGATTGAAGTAGTCTTTTGACTGGTACATCTAGCAGAGGCGGGGAATTAAGCAACCTCTGGGTTGGTCAGTTATTCCAGGGTTTGAGCTGATGTCATGCGTTACTCAAGACATGCTGGAATCAAACATCTCAGAAGGTTCAAGCTCTGAGTTTGTACCAACTTACAAAAGCCCGAAATACAATGCTAAAATACAATTCAAAAACATGGTGCTGTTTCTCATCTTCTATTTTTCATATCGACTGCATATTAACCTCATCTAAAAGAAACAAAAAGACTGCAAATACTGGAAATCTGAAACTAAAACAGAATGCAGGAAATACACGGCATGTCAATCAGGATCTGTAACAGGGAGCAAGAAGGTTAACATTCTGAAGCTGGATAAACACAAGACATTACGAACAACTATTACAGATATTGTAATCCTGGGATATGATGTGTCTTTTTGGGATATCTCTCTAAATCTAACCTTCAATAATCTCAATATTATTATCTGTGCTACATTCGATATAATACTTTTTTTTAAAAACTTAATTCATGGATGAGGACATCACTGGCTAGACCAATATTTATTGCCCAGAGGGCAGTTTAACAGTCAACCACATTGCTGTGGCCCTGGAGTCACATGTAGTCCAGACTAGGTAATGACAGCAGTTTCGTTCTCTAAAAGGACATTAGTGAATCAGATGGGTTTTACCGACAATTGACAACGGATTCACGGTCATCATTAGACCCTCAATTCCAGACATTTTTAAAAAAAAAGATTGAATTCAAATTTCACCATCTTCCTTGGTGAGATTGGAAGGACATTCTCCGGATGTTATCTGGTTCTCTGGATTAATATTCTAACAATAATACCATAAGGCCATCGCCTCTCCTGATGATCTTTCAAACTATTAAAATCTGAGGAATGACAAACTATTGGATAGAGAAATCACGTTTAATTAAAATTATTAGTTGTTTGAAGTAACAACTAGTGTTAAAGAAGATTGAGTGGATGTACTGCAAAGCTCCGGACCCCACCCCTCTACCCCGCTGACTCCCAGCCCCTCACCACACTCGCCATCAGTCCCATCCCTCACTTAGAGGTGGGGGGGAGCGCCTCAGAGTTTCCTATATCTCCCCAACAAGTCGCTGAGCCCAATGTGGGATCTTGTGTGTCTCCGGGCTTTATTAGACCTGGTAAGCAAGTTGAGAACTGATTAACATAGAAACATAGCAGATAGGAGTGGAAAGAGGTCATTCAGCCCTTTGAGCCGGCTCCAGATTCATCACGATCGTGGCTGATTGTCCAACTCAATAGCCTAATCCTACTTTCTCCCTATAACCTTTGATCCCATTTGCCCCAAGTGTTACATGTCAGCCGCCTCTTGAATACATTCAATAATTAAGTTCACTTTCACCATTCGCCATCAGGAATGAGCTGATGCCCCAGTTAGCGAGAGCTTGTTGGTCCTGGAGTTGAATAAATATACTTTGCCACATTAGCAGAGAGCAGCCAAGAACGTGTGTAACCACAAGGTCAGTGTGCAGGCAAAGCGTTTAATGCAATCACCCTCAATAAATATATGGCTTTTAGAAAGGTTGTCTTTAGTGAAGAGAATTACCTGCAGAACTTTGTCCAGCTTCTGATATAGCAGCAGCACTCTTGCTCCTAGCTAAAGAGGACTGTGTGGGGGTTAGCAGACGGCTGATTATGTTACTCTCCGGGGGACTGTTCTGGGAACGCCGAACTGAGGGACAGGAATAAATCAAAAAGGGAGTCAACATGGTTTCGAGTGAGGAGGAAGGGGATGTGGGTTGCAAACAGGAAGGGAGAAGGGTTAAAACAAATTATGAAAAGAACGTGTTAAGTTAGCGAATGCTTATGGAAAAGAAAGGGTTAAAAATTAGAACGAAAACTTCACCATGCCAACCAATTGATAACTGGGAGCAAATAACATTCAACTCGTGGTAATAACAAAGGCATGGTGCATCCCCAAAAATCCACTCCTGGCCATTAATAAGTAAGCAGAAGTCTGTCAACTTCAAAACAAGCAAGGTGCATTTAAACAGAATACTGGTAAACTCAGGTGTAATTAACACGTCAGCATGAGCAAACAAATGGCCCGCTGCTTTTGGGCACAGTAACTTGCTTGTTAGCAGGTGGACGCATGAGGAAATAACCTACAATGAATACCATACTGTCACAGTCTATTCTGATTAAACAGTGTAACGTAGCCAGGGGATAGCAGCAACTCTCTGTACAACCGCGCCTGTATTAACAAACTGGGAAAGTTACATTAGAGAGACACAGCCGATGTAAGCCTTACAAACAGAAAATATTGAGAGGTTTAGGTCATCCTTCTGTTTAGAAAGTTCTGTTAGTGAATTCGAGGGTTAATGTTAGATGAACACAATCAGCAAGCAGACTTCACAATTGAAACAATTTCTAAACTGAAGGCAGTTAATCACAAACAGGGTGCAACAGGTTTAAAAATTTGCACAGGTGAAGCTAGGGGCTGGACAGATCAGACTACCATAGGTCATTTGATACGGTCACCACAAATAATTCGTAAAAAGTAAACGCTTGGGCTTGTTTGCCAATGAGAAGGAATGAATACAATCAAATCAGCAAGACATTCTGTGCTTCAACTGGTGCGATTTTGAGACCCAGCACAATACAAATCAAAGTAGAAGTATTAATATGGGATCAAGTCAAATACATTCAATATTCATTGAATATTTATATCATGTTACAGAGGAACTGTCTGATGCAAACTGACAGCCACCTTGCAGATCTTCTTTCTTGTCTGTTTGAGATGAAGGACGAGAGTTGCTAGCCAATCTATTCAACGAAGAGCTTCTCCTCTTATCTGCTGTGCCTAAGAATCAACAGCATTGTTTCATTATTCCCACAACACCGTCAACAACAAAAGCTGCCTACAAACCCACCTCCACCCCCTTCAGGCTCACATCCAAAATTTCAAAACTGCTAAATTCTCTTTCAATATCAGGCTTTAAACTAAAAACACACAACAGTGTGATTGAAATAATTCTCTGATGGAGAAAATGACTGCAAGGCAGCCCAATTTTTCTTAAAAAGGTGGAATTAAACATTCACAATTACACAAGATAGCTAGAAAGCATTTCCTGCACCTGCTTGCTCCACCTGGGACACACTCTGTTCTGGCTGAGAGGTTTTACTACCCAATCTGTTTAATGAAGCACTTCTTTTCTTCAAAGACGCACCTAAAAATCAAATTCAATTTCTGTTAATTGATTGAAGGCAAGTGATTAATGAATGACAACCTAGGAAATAGAACTAAAAGCTTAAATCCATGCGATCCCATTTCACTTTAGTACCAGAAAAAGTGGCAGCTATGACTCAGTGGGTTGCTCTTTCAACCTGAATCAGTAGATTGTGGTTTAAAGCCCCACTCCAGTAAACTCAACACAAAATTTACATTGCCTTCCTGAGGAGTGTCAATTGTGTATTATCACCAGACTAGTAACCCAGAGACCCACATAACCTTCTGGGGAACCATGTTCAGTTCCCACCAAAGGGTAAAATTTGGAAAACAGACAAACAAGCCACTAATTTCAAAGGCCCACAGCCTACAAGAGAGAAAAAAAAGTATACCACTGAGTGGGTGCCAGTCAGAAGGTCAGTACCAAGAGAGTGTCACAGCGTTGGAATGTCAGTACGGAGAAGAAATTACTTCACATCTCATCTGAAATGGCTCAAACCCTTATCCGGAGATTAGGTTCCCAGGTTCGAGACTCAGCAGCTGCAGAAACATCTTGTTTAAAATGGTTATATCCACACAACAGCAGTGGCAACACATGAAAAGTACTTCAGCAGCTGCAAGTGCTTTGGGACATTCTGAAACCATGGCAGGTGCTCTATAAATACAAAGTCTCTTTCCTTAGGTTGCTCAGATTTTGCTGTTGCCTGGTACTTGCTGTGATTAAAGGTGTTTGCTAACTGATCACATCACAAGAGGGATACAGCGCATTGAGACACATTGAAGCGCCAAGCAGTGATTGAAGGACTGACCCTCCGACAGTACGGCGGCTCCCTCAGCCCTGACCCTCCGACAGTGCGGTGGCTCCCTCAGCAATACACTGATTTGTCAATCTACATTGTATACTCAAGTAAGCCAATCTAGGTATCTGGGTAGTGACTGCTCTGCTTCTGGTAGGTAAGCTTGGAACTTGCCAGAGGATCGAATGGTCTTTAGCAGTTAGGTGAGATGGATAATGAAGACCTCATTAGGGATTCACTTACCAAGGCAAATGGCCTTCATCGATCCTCATTTTTGTTATAGCACTTCAAAAACATGACCAGGAAGGAGATCATCATTAATTCTGAATAGAACTACTTCTGTTTATAGTCACAATCTGGTTTACAGAACAATATGATGAGTCTGCCACATCATGAAGTACTTTCCCCAATCAATTGTCAAAAGATTTCCAGCTCAATCTTTAAGCAGCAGTTAATAGTATTTGTGAAAAACCATCAGATTAACGATGAGCTAGTGTGGGCTAAAAGGAGAGTAAGTCACTAGCCCACACATTTGCTCAGTCCCAGGACTCGGAGTTAGTTCAGTTCTCAAAGAAAGTGAAGGATGTGCAAAAGATTGGCAAGAAGGTTTCAAACCTGTCTTTCTGATTAGGTTCAGCACCATGATTTTATAAGCCACTCAGTCCCAACATTTGAAAAGGTGAAACATGATGAAAAGCAAGGCAAACAGTAACTGCAGTTAAATGATGAAGATTTTTACCCACATTCGGAAAAACATGGACTTATTAGCGACACTCAGCATGGCTTTGTACAAAATTATAAATGGCATGGATAGTCAAAGTTGTTTCCCCCAGGGTAAAAATATCAACTACTAGGGCACACAGGTTTAAGGAAAAGGGGAAGTTTAAAGGAGATGGGAGAGGCAGGTTTTTTTTTGTTTACACAGAGGATGGTAAGTACCTGGAATGTGCTAGCAGAGGTGGTGGTGGAGGCGGATACAATACCAACGTTTAAGAGGCATTTTGACACATATCGGAATAGGCAAGGAATAGAGGGATATGCACTACATAGAGGCAAAAGGTTCTTAGTTTAAAAAAGTATCGTGTGTTGCCATACTCTTGGTGGGCCAAAGAGCCTGTTCCCGTGCTGTACTGTTCTTTGTTCTACAGCTAATAAATCACACAAGAAAGAGATAAAAGGGAGCATTCATTAGAAACTGAAATGTACTACACAAACAGAACTTCATTTTTCAAGTTCTCCTGGGGTCTTCAAGTGCTCACACACTTTCGCACTCCTCATACTGAAATGACAGCATTTCATTTTTCTGTGCAAGGGCTGGGAAGGCATGATGAAAAACAGAAGAGATTCAAGCTCAGCTTTTACAAATGAAAACAATTTGCCTGAATCGCTGTGAATAAAAGGGGAACTCTTCAGCTTTAAAAGTAATGAGTCTATCCAAAGATAACCGATGCTTTCTCAAAAAAAACCCTTGTGATTGCTTGGAGGCAAGAGGCATGGTGAGGTATAAAATGAATACTTTATACCTGACTTTACCATGGAAGAAGTCAGAGTGAAGGAGTATGCAGTCAAAGGACTGCATGGGGTACAAATTTGATAAACTGGTGGTGGTAGAGGTTGTTAGTACTTAGACTTGACAAGCCACCCAGACCAGCTGAGATGTACCGGAGGTGGCAAGACAGTTGGAGAAAAGGGATAAAAAGATATATGGCACCCTGGGTGAATAAATAGACTCCAAAAGCAAGGAAGTTACAATGAACTTTTTAAAACCATGGTTTGGCCTCAACTAGAGTACTGCAAGCGGTTCTGGTACTGCACTTTAGGAAGGATGGCATGGCCTTGGATATAGTGCACAAAAGATCGACAATTATGGTTCGAGGGAAAACAAATTTCAGTTCAGAAGTTAGATTGGAGAAATTGAGGATATTGTCTTTAGAGGACAGAAGGTAGAGTGGAGATTGCAATAGGCTTCACGATCATGAGGCACTGATGGCAAAGCAGGAGAAACTTATCCTGTTACTGTAACCATTCTAAAATATGATGAAATTACGTATAGTAAAGCATTTTAAAGCCATCCATGGAAAGATTCTCCAGTTGAGTTCTGCAATTCAGAAACATTAAAAAAGGGAGGTCTGCACAACAGTAGCAAAGACCCAAGTATCTGGACCATTTTACTGAAATCACTGTGGTGACCATTTCTGCGATTTACAATCACATCAGGATAGTTCACAGAACTGATCTATTTTCAAGACATGATAAAGAGTGATGAATCACATTTCTCCTCTTAGATTGAGAGCCAATACACATTGGTCAATGCCACAGCAGCTGGTAGTTTCAGAAAATGATCTGGGAAGATCAGGACTGAGATAAAGGTAACAGACCAATCATTACTGACTTGCACAGCCTATCGGGGAAGCAATTTTGGAGATTCATGCCCTTCTTAAACATCTGAAGCTGACTGCATTCAGCAACCAGCTTCACAGACAGATTCATCTGATCTCACATTTATTCATGCAAACAATGTGTGAGCGAGGGATAGCAAGATGCAAGTCTTAATGGTGGTCCGTTCAACCCAAGCAAGGGATCAGTAATTTGCAATCACTTATTCTGATTTAAATAGTCACCCTAGCTTTAAGAGATAACAGTTTACCATTGTTTATCGCTGCAACTTGGTGTGAAGGCACATACGTCAATTAGAGGATGGCCATCTGCTGAAGAGCAACACAATACTTTGAAGTTTAAAATCTAGAACAAAACTAGCACGGCAGCATGTGCACAATCCAGGAATAGCCCACTTACTTTTGTCAGGAGAGTTTAGAAGTGCTGTTGAAGATGAAGACAGACGCCTGCTTATGTCTGGCTGTCCCTGTTTCGTGAGGTTGGTGGTGGATGTAGAACGTTTATCTACAGCTGCAGGAAGAAAATAAAACTCAACATCTTTGAGGCACGAGTCCAGGTACAGCACTGGTAACTGTCTTGACCAGCCGTTTACACCATGCATATCTTAGCTTTATTTTATCCTGAAAGTAAATACTGGGTGAGAGAACGTACATCAATTTGTTGAACTTTATTAGAAAAGGACGAGAAGAATGTTCTTGGCTTGGTCTGGAGTTTCAGAGTTTGAAAATCCTCAAAATCAAAATGTTAGTAAACAATGGAAATTAAAAAAACTTTCAACATAAATTGGAACAAATTAGTTCAATTATGACTTCAGCCTGTTCAGTGTGGCATTTCCTGTTTGAGCAAAATAGTGAAGTTGCTATGTCCTGCTGAATTTTGTGCTCAGCCTGTATCGGGCAGCGGAACAAGAACGCTGTTCAGTGGTGGCAGTAGGTGCACACTGCTGATACTGTGCTCTAGTTTTACAATGAAGTCAACTTGAAATCCAATACAACTTCAAAAATCTAATTACCATTGGCTCACAACACTTCCAGTTCAGGCTGTCTTGTACTTCTCATGACCCAGATCAAGCAAACCCAAACTCATTTCACATTGGAGCCTGAGGGAAAGGACAGTTAAGCTTGGATTGAAAATGATGCACAAGGAGAAGTGTTCCAATATGTGGCACCCTCAATCCATTGTACCACACCACTGTTAAAACACCATTAGCGGGAGTTAAATACATTCATCTGGCTATGAAAATGGAAAGATACAATCTCTGCATTTCAAAAGATTGTGGGCTTAAATTCAATTTATAAATACTCAATGCAGCTTGACCTTCAGCTCATTTAGAAAGTCTCTAAATCATAAAGCAGCCCCTGTTGAATTATTAGGTTAAACAGACATTAGCGTAACACATTTTCAGGATAAAATATCACTTCACAACTTTCCTTACAAACCAAGTGCATGCATCCACACCCAATATTCGCAGGGGAAAGTAAAGCAAGTATTACATGCTGGTAGAGCTGGAGATTAGTTGCTTTTTCCAGTTTTTAAAATGTTAGTTTGCAACATTAACTAATATTCATCTTTAATGCATTAATTTCAGCAAGCAGGTAGCATAGTTCCAAACCAGAACCATCTTCAGTGGAAGCCTGGGAGTCTGAGGAAGGAGGGGGGCAGTCAGACAAATTTAAAGGTGGAGTTAAGGAATGTTCAGGAACACCTAAACAAGAGAGAAATGATCACTTGGCAAAATCAATACAGATTAATAGACAAATATCGGTTACAGTAAAAACAAGGTGATTAATGATGACAGGAACTGAACCAGGGGAATATCCCAGAATTAATGCTGGAAATTGTGGTCCTGTTTGTCTTTGATTCAACGTCACGTTATCTCTGCAAAATCTCACTTCTGCAACACTGTTCACACCAAAACATCATCCACACTAGATCCATACACTCACATTCAGCTACCTCCCCACCTCAATCTTATTAAAATAAACTCTGCAAACTCCACCATTATGCATGTTATACTGCACATTAGGGAACCTACATTTATCGAGAGGTGTTCAGTTTCATCTTGCTTTGAGAATTCCACGGCTGGAGCAAGACAAACATATCCTTACCAGCACAGGTCCCTTTTGGAGCTGCTACAAGCTGGTATCCAAAGACATTCATATTAAAGTTATGAGGTTTACAATACAAGACTATGTTTTGGAATGGTCTTTGATTCAAGGTAAAATGGAAAGGGGTATGTGACTTGCTTTGAAGTCTACTTGACAGTAAGCCTGGATACCTTCTTTGTTAGAGGACAAAAGGACACTGATTGTTTTACTGGGAAAGAGGTGAACGGTATTTATGCTGGTGACAATGGCAGCAGCCTGCAAGCATTGTCATACAATGGTAGTCTCCCTACCTCTGCACCAGGAGGCCCAGGTTCTAGTCCTATTTATTCTAGATGTGTCATAGCACATTTGAACAGGTCGGTTAGAAAACATCTGACAGCAGCTTGAGGATTAACTGTAGAGACCAAGAGTCTCTGAAGTCTCAGAAATTTTGAGAATGTTGGGATAAAAGTAGCTGTGCTTGAAACTGTCTGGTTTGTTCCAAGGCAAAAGAAAACTTGGTTTCTCAGAGACAACTAGTTAGCATTTCTACATTGTGAGTCACATGAGCTGTGTAACATTGTCATGGGTATACATGCAGAAACCACCACTGTAAAGATCAGATTACAGACTTTCCTACAATATCACAGACTGCCTCTTTTGGGTCTAGAACTGCAGCTAGAGGCTAAAATGTCAACAATTTGCTATATTGCTATGTGGGTGGAAGCTCATGCTCAGAGTGAAAAAGACCTAATTTGTAAGGAGTTAAATCAAGACTGGAGAAATCTCAGAATCGTAACAGTGCAGAAGAGAGCGAAAGTGAGTGTGTCTGGGAAAATAAACCACACCGAATGACAGTTTAAAAGATTGCAAGCTACCAGGCTCAGAAGATAAAAGAATGGCAATTATTGAGGTTCTCAAAATTATGAACAATTTTAACAGGGTAAAGGAGGATATTCTGCTTCCACTTGTTTGTTTTTTTAGTAACAGGGGCCATAATTTCAACTTATCAGCAAGGAAGTTAGATAGGGCTGGAGAATGGGACTAGCTGGATAGCTCTTGCAGAAGCTGGTACAGACTCAAATGGCCTATTCTGTAGTGTAAAATTTTATGATTCTATTATACACTTTTGGTTTAGGGATCATAGAATGCATATGTAAAGGTCAATGTAAAATAAATCTATCAAACATGCACTATCATTTGGGCTAATAAGAAGAATGGGGGAAGATTCCATTCTGTGTTATACAAGCGGCCTACAAAATTTGTGCTTAGGCAACAGTGTGACATTGTTATAGTAAATGTCTTAAAATGTGAAACCTTGTGTCATTTTTCAGCTAATACAGGAAGTTGAAATTCAAGGTTATCGGTGTAATGGGGACTGTGACAGTTCATTGTGTAGTCCCAAGTTCCTGGCAATACTTTATCAGACGGTTTATGTCATCTCTGGAATGTTGTGCTAATGTAAACTACAGGACGCCTCTGATGCTAAGGGTACAATCCTGGAATAGAGAAGACTCCACCTTGTATCCTGAGCATTTCCAATATTCTAAGTTCATTGCCCTGTCCACCACCCCTACCCAGTTCACCTCTCATCGCACTGAGTTTGAAAAGTATGTCCAGGTTTGAAGTCCCTTATCATCCTCCCCCCGCCATACCCAACCTATCTCTCTAACCTGCTTCATAACCCAGTCTGTGATCTCTACTCTCCAAACAGGGATGGACTGGCCTCCCCCAACCACTTGTGATTCATTAGTGCTGAGAGAGTGATCCTAATTCTTCACCCAAACCACTCTGATCAGTTATTTCTCATTAACTTCTACAAAAGAGTCCTCATGACATGTTGTCTATTGCGCATTATTCCCAACACTCCTGCTGGTGATAGCTCCGCCCCCCGAAGTATAACGTTAAACTCCTACAAGCTAATGTAAATGGATGAATGAACATCCTTCTGAACATAGCTTAAAAATACTACCTGGCTGGCATTATGACTGGTGATTGATTCCCAAGTGCAAGTGACACTTACCATTCGAGCTTTCCTTTTCAGTTGTTATAGCTCCTCCCCATGACCATCTCTTTTGCCTTTGCTCCAAGCGCTGGCTCCGTTCTAAGGTGCGTCGCATCACAGCTTCGTAGTGCTCCTACGTCAGTTTCAAAAGAAAGGAATCAGGATTAAACTTGCTAAACGAAGAAAACCCAAAAGAACTGCAGATGCTAGAAATCAGAAACAAAATCAGAAGTTGCTGGAAAAACTCAGGTCTGACAACATCTGTGGATGCAATTCTAAAGGGTCACTGGACCCAAAACGTTAACTCTGCTTTGTCTCCACAAATGCTGCCAGACCGGCTCAGATTCTTCAGTAATTTCTGATTTTGTTAAAGTTGCACACTGTTCCTTACAATCGTTTTAAGTTATTTTAATAGCAATATGCTAGCATACAGAACTGTAATGAAAATCAAACTTGCAAACTGAAGTCTCAGGTGTTCAATTCCTATTTTACATTGTTAATGGCAGATCTCAAACTGGAGTCATGCAGATTTTTCTTATCATTACTTTTTGCAGACAGTTATTCACATTTCTCACATACTTTTCAGCAGCAGGACATCTTTTGTACAGGGAAGATTTTTATATAACTTGCCCTGTATTAGACAAATGCTGTCACCACAATGTTTCATCCTAGGTAATAACTCATTGACTCTGACCAGGCTTTTTCATGTTCAATAGCAACACATTTAACTAAAAACGCAGCAAATACGTAGCAGGTTTAACAGCCTGCATAGAAGAGGAAACAGTCATCTGTTCAGGTTTGTCAGGTCAAATGTTCCTCTTTCGCCACAGATAGGATCCGACCTGAGTATTTCCAGACTTCTGATTTTGTTTCTAAATGCTCAGTCTGGGTTAGTTGAGTAAATCATGGTTGTCTTCATTTATAGATGTGCTTTGGAAGCATAAATGGGAGCACAGACTGCATAGAAGGTCTCTTTATTCTGCCTTAGGATTTGGCAACCCAGGGTAACACAGGGGCTAGCACTGCTGCCTCATGGTGCCAGGGACCTGGGTTCGACTCCAGCCAGGCGACTCTCTGCATGGGCTTCCTCCGGGTATTACAGTTTTCTCCCACAGTTCGAACATGTGCAGGTTAGGTGGATTAGCCATGGGAAATGTAGGGCTACAGGGATAGGTTAGGGGGCTGGGATGCTCTTTGGAGGGTCAGTGTGGATTTGATGGGACTGAAAGGCCTACTTCCACACTGTAGGGATTTAGGATTCTATAATCTAACTAACTCAAACCAGCACATCTACTATAAATGTCCATTTTTTTCACCTGCCTCCAGGTATTAATTTGTTGTTCCATTTGGGTAAGATAGCAATTTATCAATTTGTACTTAGCTATGGTCCTGCCAAGAGTTGGGCACAATGTGTGGAGACCCTTACTGCCAAAAGGGTTTACATTTGATTGCTCTGGACCAGATTCAAGTACTGGTCATAAAGAATAAAACGGAGAGAGAGTCACAACCAGCATCATTGTCCCATTGGTTATGAAGGCTAATAATAGCTCAATGGGTGCGTTCTCACTTGCAGTGTCCTCTATAATACTGAGGCAGAAGACACCAGCCCTCATACTATAGGTCATCACTGTAAAGCAGTAGTGACAGCAAATAAACAGAACAGAGTAAAGACTGTCACAGAACATTCCTCATTCATAGAATAAAAGCACTGAGTAGGTTACCATGAGGATCGGTGCTAGATCCACAGATGGGAATGGTCTATACAATTTGGACACGAGAACGAACAGCAATATTTTAAAATTTGTTGATACATTAAACTAGATGGGAACATAAACTGAGGAAGATGCAAAGAAGCTTCAAGCATTTTTGGAATATTACAACTAATCCAATATTTCTGCAGCTGCCTTTTTTTAGGATCCGAGGATGCATGCCATCATGGCAAGGAGACTTCTCTGCCTTTAGCCCATTAGTTTGTCTATTACTACTTCTTTAGTGATGATGCTGGTACTTAATTCCTCCCGTCTCTGTATTCTTTAGGAACAGTGAGCAATTAGGAAGGCAAATGGTATATTGGCCTTCATCTCAAGAAGATTTGAGTTCAGGGATAAGGAAGTCTTGCTGCAATTATGTAGAGCTTTAGTGAGACTGCACCCGGTGTATTGTATAGTTTTGGTCTCCGTATTTAAGGAGAATATACTTGCCGTAGAGGGAATACAACAGATGTTCACAAGACTAAATCTTTGGGCTGGTAGAATTGTGTGAAGAGGAGAGATTGGGGAAATTAGTTCTGTATTCTCCAGAGTTGGTGACTTCATTAAAACTTACAAAATCCTCTCAGCATGATAGGATGGATGTAGACAAGATGTTTCTCCTGAGACTGGTGACTCTAGAACAGGGGACATAATCTTGGGATAAGGTGTAGACTAATCAAGACTGAAATGAGAAGAAATTTCTCCAGAGGGTGATGAATTTTTGGAATGTTTAACCTCAAAGAGCTGTGGAAGTTCAAGCATTTAGCGTATTCAAGACAGAAAACATTAGGATCCTGAACTTAAAGAAAGCTAACTTTGACAAGGTATGCATTGGCTTGGATAAACTGAACAAGGACACTTAAGGGGTTGATGGTGGATAGGCAATGGCCTATTGTGTTAAAAACCACATGGATGAACTTCAACAACTAAACATCTGTCTGGCATAAAAGTAAAACAAGGAAGGTGCCTCAACCATGGCTAATAAAGGGAAAATCAGGAACAGTGTTGAAGCCAAACAGGTGACATGTAAATTGGCCAGAAAAGCAGCAAACCAAAGAACTGGGAGGAATTAAAATTCAGAAGAGGACAAAGGGTTTAATTTGGAAAGGGAAAATAGAATATGAAACTAAGCTTGCAGAAAACAAAAACTGACTGCAAAAGCTTCTATAGATGTGTGAAGAGAAAACAACTGGTGAAGACAAATGTAGGTCCCTTGCAGTTAGAATCTGGTGAATTCAAAATAGACAAAGTGATGGCAGACCGGTTGAACAAATATTTTGGATCTGTCTTCACTAAGGAGGACACAAATAATCTTCAGGAAATGCTAAAGGACAGAGGGTCAAGCCTGAAGAAGGAACTGAAGGGAATCCTTATTAGTCAGGAAATGGTACTGGGGAAACTGATGGGATTAAAACTTGATAAGTCCCCAGGGCCTGATGCTCTGCATCCCAGAGTACTTAAGGAAGCGGCCCCAGAAACAGTGAATGCATTGGTGAACATTTTCCAGCATTCTGTTTGACTCTGGAAGAGTTCCAATGGACTGGAGGGTAGCTAATGTAACTCCACTCTAAAAAAGGAGGGAGAGAGAAAATGGGGAATTATAGGCTGATTAGCCTGACATCAGTGGTGGGGAAAATGCTTGAGTCAATTATTAATGATGTAATAACTGAACATTTGGAAAGCAGTGACAGAATCAGTCCTAGTCAGTATGGATTCACTAAAGGGAAATCATGCTTGACAAATCTTTCGGAATCTTTTGAGGATGTTGTGTATCTGGACTTTCAAAAGACTTTTGACAAAGTTCCACACGAGAGATTAGTAAGGAAAATCAAAGCGCATAGTATCGGAGGTAATGTGTTGACATGGATAGAGAACTGGTTGGCAGACAGGAAGCAGAGTGTTGGAATAAACGGGTCCTTTTCAGAGAGGCGGGCGGTGACAGGTGGGGTACCGCAGGGTTCAGTGCTGGGATCTCAGTTGTTCACAATATACATTAACGTTTTGGATGAAGGAATTGAATGTAATATTTCCAAATTTGCAGATGACACTAAGCTGGGTGGCAATGCAGGCTGTGAGGAGGATACTAAGAGGCTGCAGAGTGACTTGGACAGACTGGCTGAATGGGCAAATGCAATATAACGTGGATAAATGTAAAGTTATCCACTATGGTCACAAAAACAGGAAGGCAGATTATTATCTGAATGGTGGCAGTTTAGGAAAAGGTGAGGTGCAACGAGACCTGTGTGTCGTTGTGAAACAGTCACTGAAGGTTGGCATGGATGTGCAGCAGGCAGTTAGGAAAGCTAATGGCATGCTGGCCTTCATAGCGAGAGGATTTGAATATCGGAGTAAGGATGTCTTGCTGCAGTTATACAGGGCCTTAATGATGCCACACCCTTGAGTACTGTGTGCAGTTATGGTCTCCCAGTCTGAGGAAGGACATTCTGGCTATTGAGGGAATTCAGCAAAGGTTCACCAGACTGATTCCCGGGTCAGAGATAGTAGGAACTGCAGATGCTGGAGAATCTGAGATAACAAGGTGTAGAGCTGGATGAACGCAGCAGGCCAAGCAGCATCAGAGGAGCAGGAAGGCTGACATTTCAGGCCTAGACCCTTCTTCAGAAAATAATTTTTTTTTTCTGAATAAGGGTCTAGGCCCGAAAAGTCAGCCTTCCTGCTCCTCTGATGCCGATTCCCAGGTCAGCTGGACTGACATGTTCGACTGGGTATGCATTTGCTGGAAGTTAGAACGGTGAGGATCTCAGAGAAACGTATAAAATCCTGATGGGACTAGACAGGCTAGGTGTAGGAAGAATGTTCCCAATGTTGGGCTAGTCTAGAACTAGCGGTCACAGTGTAAGAATAAGGGGCACGCCATTCAGGACTGAGATGGGGAAGAATTTCTTCATTCAGTTGTGAACCTGTGGAATTCTCTCCCACAAGCAGCTGTTGGGGCCTGTTCATTAGATATATTCAAGAGGAAGCTGGACGTGGCCCTTGTGGCTAAAGGGATCGAGGGGTATGGGGGTGTGGTGGGGAGGGTGGGAATGGGATACTAAGATTGCATGATCATAATGAATGGTGGTGCAGGCTCGAAGGGCAAATGGCTTACTCCTGCACCTGTGTTCTATGTTTCTATTATAGACCTTTGGAGTCTAATAACATTAGGGCATATGGAAATAGTATGAGCTCACTGCCTAATTGAATGGCAGAGCAATCTTAATGGGCTGAATGGCTTACCCCTGCTCCTGAGTTTCTATAAAGTTGAACAAGTTTAGGGATTACCATTCTCTTAAAAATATAATACCCATAAAAGAAACTTTGAAAACACAGAGTAACAAAGTTAACTGTTACAGATTAAAAGAAGAAACAAGCCTTGAGCCAAGCATTGCTTGGAGTCAGGATTCAATAAGTAATAATTATAGTCTCCACACTGGAGTTTGATGCATTATCATGGTTACTATATCCCAAGAGTAAATTGTAGCATCTATGCATAGCCCAGCGACTTGGGGGATGGCGGAAGGGAGTGCAAACAATGGAATGTGTGGATGCAAATCTTTGTGCATTCAGCATCATCCATGGGGACCACGATTGCATTAAAGCTCACTGTCATTGTGAATACCCAGCTTCCCTGTACACTAGCAAACAGTGAGGGGAAACTTGGCTGAGCTCCTCCTTGCTCCATGTATCACTGACAATATCCAAACATCATAGAATCACAAGTGCCAAGAACATAGAAAATTAGAGGCTTAGGCCATTCGTCCCTTCAAGCCTGCTCTGCTATTCAATGTGATCACAGTTGATCATCCAACTCAGTACCCTGTTCTCCCTATTCCTGATTCCTTTAGCCCTAAGAATTATATCTATCTCCTTAAAAACATTCAACGCTTTGGCCTTGACCACTTTATGTGGGAGAGAATGCCACAGGCTCACCACTCTCAGTGAAGAAATTTCCCCATATCTGAAGATTCTCCAAATCCTTGGACTGTCACTCCTGGTTCTGGGTTCCCTGGTTATTGCAAACATTCTCCCTGGGTTTACCCTGTCTAGTCCTGTTAGAATGTGACAGATTTCTACAAGATTTCCCGGGAATATAATCCTAACTGATCCACTCCCTCCCCAGACATCAGTCCCGCCATCCCAGGAATCAGTCTAGTAAAATTTTACTGCACTCCCTCCGTAGGCAGAAGATCCTTCTTCAGATGAAGAGAACAAAACTGCACACAATACTCCAGGTGTGGTCTCACCAAGGCCCAGTATAAATTGCATCAAGACATTTTTGCTCCTGTACTCTAATCCTTTCACTGCCTGATGCACCCTACATGCTTATCCTCAATGACCGTTGTAGGAGAACATCCAGGTCTCGCTGCATATTTTTCTCAATTTTTAGCCATTCAGATAATAATCTGCCTTTTCTTTGTTACGAAAGTAGACAACCTCATTTATCCAAATTATACTGCCATGCATTTGCCCACTCACAACCTAAATAATATGCAATATTAGCACTATATTTCACTAGCACTATGGTAACTCTATTTCGAAAGATGATGGTTTGTGCCATGGCAGTCACTAAGGTGCGGAGTTTACTAGGGGCTTTGATTTTTCTGGGCCCTTTGGTACAATGTTTACCCCTTTCTCCTAGCAGTAATGCACAGGGCTGAACTCTATGGAAGTAAGCTAAACATTAAAAAACATGTAAAGGGATTAGGGTAGTATAGTAGTGATGTAACTGAGCAAATAATCCAGAGTTCAAAACCTCCCCAAGGCAGCTGGTTGATTAATGAAATAAATCTGGAGGAAAGAAAAGCAGCTGTCAGTGACAGTAACCATGAAACTACTGGACTGCTGTAAAAACAAACTGATCAAAACCACAATGGCTCAATGGGCTGAATGGCTTCTTTCTGCTCGGTTGGGACTCTAAGCTTATAACCATTACCACATGGCATTATCAGTTCAAGATGGTACTTCTCATGATCAGCTTCTCAAAGGCAATTAAAGATGGGCAATAAATGCTGGCCTTGTCAGTGATACATGCACCCCATGGAAGAATACAAACTAAGAAACTGAAATAAGCATTACATTGAATAGATGAAGTTCTGAGGGGCATGACAGGGTGGATGCTGAGAGGACACTTCCCCTCCACGGGAATCTAGAACAATGGTGCAAAGCTTCAGAATATGGGGTCAGAGAAGAGGAGGCACTTCCGAATGTTGTCAGTCTTTGGCATTCTCTTTCGTAGAGAGCAGTGGAGGCTAAGTTAGATGGATTATTGATCTACAAGTGAGTTGAGGGTTATGGGACAGGCAGAAAAATGAAGATAAGGCCACAATCA